GCCCTACCCGGCGTAATTATTCTATTATTATATAAAGCGCTAACTTTGTGTGTCGGTTTGTGTATCTGTATGTGTGTGTGTGAGTGTGTGTGTGTGTGTGTATGTATGTATGTGTGTCCGTCCGCAAAATGAAGTGAGTGAGAAGGAAGCTCATGGGATAAACAAACCGCTAACAAATCGGGTAGCTTACAGGATTTGAGATATCAATGTTTTGTAGCAGGATAGTTGTGATAACACTCTTAGGGCTATATAAACACCTGCTTAGCACACTTCCGTTCATTCCACATGGTGCTGCAGTGGCAGCTGGAGGGCAGTGGAGAGAGGAAGGGGAGGATGAGGAAGGGAAGCGAAAAATCTACCGTCATATCATGATTGTGTCCCTTCTACTGTATGAAACACCATTGTGTTGCATACGCGTCACTTCCAGGAGGTGTTGGTGTCACAGGAGGAAGGGACCATAGCGGAGGATAGAAAGCTTGCGCAGGAAAGGAAGGTCCCGGCGGTTGACGGGGGACTAATCTGGTTTGTTGAATAATCCATCATGACTTACTGATGTTCAATGTTAACTAGGGTGAAAATAGTTGCAGTCCTGAGGTTTGAGTGTTGGTTAATTTGTAATCTTACTGCAGAGTGGAGTAATGAAAAGAGCCCAACCCAGTATTGAAGATGATGTGTGTCGTTAGCTGGAAAGCTGATGACAAATGCATTCCGATTGCAGGTGAGTTCCTATTGTCAAACTCATGTTTTTTATTTCAAAGTGATCAGTTTCCATGTTTGGGGTAGAGAGAAGTAATGGAGAATTTTGGTGCGGGAAAGTATTTAGAGAAAGAGATGTCTCGCAACGAGCGCAGTATGACAGGAGGATAGTGAAGTATAGACTGAGTTCCGCAGACACCAAAACATAGGGCGAAATCTGCTGAATTATTTTTGTGTTACTGTTTTTACGAACTTCAGTTGGTCTTTCTTCCATGTTCTTTCATTACGGGAGCCCTTACAATGTTGTAAAAAAAGAAGGAAGAAGCTCAGAGGTTGTATTCTCTGAGACGTAACCGAGTTTTGAAGTTCCCTTCTAAACACACAGTTTTGGCGAATAGGCGCACATTTGAAGGCTATATAATAATTTAGGCGCTATTTCTGTGAGAAAGATAGGGTGACTATGAAAAGCGAACACTGTATAGTGTGAAGTTAATATATCCTTTTGAAGTGCGAAGACGCTGAACGCGATCGACAACCGGATCCTAAAGCGGTTTCGAAATGGGAGGAGGTGGTGAGGAAAGTGGCATCTACGCTGAAGAGTGCAAAATTGAAGCATAGTTGTGAGGTGAGAAGCCTCCTTCTGAATTCTTGTATAAGAATGCAACTTAATTATCATCTTGGTAGGCGTTAGAAGCAGTTGAATAACACAGGAACTTTTTCAGTACAAAGATTTGGATTTTTGGTCAAAACGTGGAGTGACTCATCCACTTGCGGAACATGCTGTGGCTATTGAGAAAACAACATCAAGTGTTCCAAAATACGAATGGACGGCACCTAAGGAGGTTCGCTCTTACTTTTTGTGTTGCGGCTAATCCTTGCTACTGTTGTAAACTTGTTTCAGGTCACCATTCTCAGCGAATCAGCAGTGAATTTGTTATGTTCGAACTGCTTTACCGTGAACATTTTTATTACATTACCAGACGTGGGTCCTTCTTTTCTTTTCGCTTTGGGGCTCACGGCCTTTTTAGGCTGAGATTGTTATTGTTTGTTTATTTGTTTTTATTTTGATTGTTGAGATTGAAATGAGCAGCGCTCTTTCAGTTGTAATAAGGAATCCGAAGAAGATTGTGTTTTTTGGAAATGTTATCGTCTTTATTTTCAGAACTTGTTTGGGAAGCGGGATTATATCAATCTCATATATCCGACGAAACGTGCCCATTATATGTGCAGCGCGATTGTGGCCCTTCGAAAGGCTTTCAGTGATTTCACTGTGGCTTTTGTGCCAGGTTTTGCGGGAGACAAACTCTTCCCTAACGTTCAGATCACTGGTACGTTTTGTTATTCCCTCTTAAATGTTGATTTCAACGTAGTTTGAATAGATCCAAGGAGAGGAGTTAAGGAGTGTGGCATTAGAGACCCGATGTTATGTTTGGGTTAGCGCAATGCACATTTTTTGTAGGTTTAGCATTGAGTTCCTAGGTCTTCTGTACACCTTTTGGCTTTCAGTTAGAATCCTAAGTGAGTTCGTAGATGAAGGTTGGATGTGGTTCGATAGGATAAAATCTACTTTTCCGCTTTCCTCACGCAAATTGTGTTCGCTGTAAACCCCGGGTTCACTGTCGATCAGTGGTGGACCTGGGGATACCCAGCTGAAAAGTTTGAGCTTATCCTAGTGAATCTCACCCTGGTCACCAGTGGAATTTGGTCATGGAGTGGAGAAGTAAAGCTTTAGATAAGCCACCTGACAGCAATCGCGCGCCCTGTTTCCACCATGGGCGTACGCGCTAGGTTCATGTTGGGTGCAATAACCGACCCCGGAGGGATGGAAGGCTTGGTTGGCCCGGGCGACTCACGACCCAGGATTTGATCCCCGGACCGCTCGCGTGGTAAGCGTGCCACTTGCCACTACACCACTTCCGCCCCTACACCACTTCCGCCCATTGGGCGCAATCTTTTGAATAATATAGCAATGAGCTTACTGATTTCAATGTTAACGAGGGAAAAAATAGTTGAAGTCCTGAGGTTTGAGCATTGGTTAATTTGTAAACTTACTGCAGAGTGGAGTAATGAAAAGAGCCCAACCCAGTATTGAAGATGATGTGTCGTTAGCTGGAAAGCTGATGACAAATGCATTCCGACTGCAGGTGAGTTCCTATTGTCAAACTCATGTTTTTTATTTCAAAGTGATCAGTTTCCATGTTTGGGGTAGAGAGAAGTAATGGAGAATTTTGGTGCGGGAAAGTATTTAGAGAAAGAGATGTCTCGCAACGAGCGCAGTATGACAGGAGGATAGTGAAGTATAGACTGAGTTCCGCAGCACTAAAACATATCGCGAAATCCGTTCGCGATTATTTTTTGCGTTTGCCTTTCTGAAAACGTTCGTTAGTCTATTGTCTATATCCCATTATTACGCAAGTCTTTTGAATTTTAAGAAAAAGGGAGAAGGTCAAGAGTGAAGTTGTGTATCCAAGCATAATACTGAGTCTTGGACTTTCGTTCTACACGACGCCTTTTTGCGAATGGAGCGCACATTTGAAGGCTATATAAAATTTAGGCGCTATTTCTATGAGAAAGAAAGGATGACTACGGAAAGCGAACACTGTATAGTGTGAAGTTAATATATCCTTTTGAAGTGCGAAGACGCTGAACGCGATCGACAACCGGATCCTAAAGCGGTTTCGAAATGGGAGGAAGTGGTGAGGAAAGTGGCAACTACGCTGAAGAGTTGCCAAAATTGAAGCATAGTTGTGAGGTGAGAAGCCTCCTTCTGAATTCTTGTCTAAGAATGCAATTGGATTATCGTCTTGGTAGGCGTTAGAAGCAGATGAATAACACAGGAACTTTTTCAGTACAAAGATTTGGATTTTTGGTCAAAACGTGGAGTGACTCATCCACTTGCGGAACATGCTGTGGCTATTGAGAAAACAACATCAAGTGTTCCAAAATACGAATGGACGGCACCTAAGGAGGTTCGCTCTTACTTTTTGTGTTGCGGCTAATCCTTGCTACTGTTGTAAACTTGTTTCAGGTCACCATTCTCAGCGAATCAGCAGTAAATTTGTTATGTTCGAACTGCTTTACCGTGAACATTTTTATTACATTACCAGACGTGGGTCCTCTTTTCTTTTCGCTTTGGGGCTCACGGCCTTTTTAGGCTGATTGTTATGTTTGTTCAATTTGTTTTATATTTTTGATTGTTACCGGTTGAAAGTAGCGCTTTTACAGTTTGTATTATATTGGGTTGTCTCATAATTCCTGTCGCATTTCTATTCAATTTCAAATTCCTTCCGTCTAAGACCGTTTCATTGCGAAATACGTTAGTATGTTGAAGTATGCTTCAAGTGCCTTAACAGCGTGGTTTCGGAAGCGCAAGCCCTTAACGGGTTAATCAACTAGTAATAAAAATAGGTCAGTGACTGCAATCAATGATTATGCTTTACGATCCTCAAATGAACTCTGTAGCAAGGAGGACAACAGAGAAGATCAGCGCTGTGTTTGACTCAGTCTCTGCTACTGATAGGGTACTGAGCTAGTGGACCAATCGCAACGGCAAAGACGAAACGAGCTATGAACTTCAACCTCATACTGGGCCTGCGGTCATTTTTGATGAGCGCCCCTTGCACCCTAAATTGGGAGTGCCTCCGCACGTTGCTACCAGGGTATTGTAGCAGATACCTGAGCGCAGCCGATGCACCAGCACTGCCATCAGTATGGCAAGGACTGCTGCAGAGTGAAGTTTTGATGGAAACCTTATGGTCCGGCCGACCATGAGCGGGAGCACGCCTGATCACCTGGGGAAAACCCATTCTGGGATGGCAAAAGCAGAGCTTCCCTAATCGGTCACCGGTGGAAATGAGTCATGAGTCCACTGCGACAACAACATGCGGCACGTCTTATGGCTGCCTCGCAGCCAGGAAGCACCAGCTCAACCAAAGCCCGAACTCCGTTTTCTGAGAATATCGCTCTCGTTTTATTGGATTCGCTAGGTGGCCTGGTTTGGGAACCACTTCAATGTATGAAGACAAGCATTGCTAAAGTCAGCGCGGAATAGCCCTCTTGGCTGGCTTTGGGGTTGCGAGAGAATCGTCAGAAACGTCTCAGATCCTCCTTCCTCCGAATGTACCAGACCTCACATTGCAATGCCAACTCACCACGTTCTGAGGGAGATAGCCAGGGCCACGATACCTCATCCACCATATAGCATTGGCATCGCTCTATCGGACTATCGCCTCCCCTGCGCTTTGAATAAGCATCTGCCAGAGAAGAAAGTTAAAGATTGCGGTCACCCCAAAAACGACTTCTCCAAATTCTTCAACCCCCAGTTTCCTTCATTCTGGGCTGGAAGCTTCCAAACGCCCACTAGTAAATGCACGCATATCAGTGACCATGATGGTGGTTATGCTATTAGTCAGTTGTTTCCCAGAAGAGATAAAACTTGAATAAACAAAAGTGTCGAAATTGCGACAGAATTATGAGACAACCCAATATAAGAAGTTTGTGTTTTTTGGAAATGTTATCGTCCTTATTTTCAGAACTTGTTTGGGAAGCGGGATTATATCAATCTCATATATCCGACGAAACGTGCCCATTATATGTGCAGCGCGATTGTGGCCCTTCGAAAGGCTTTCAGTGATTTCACTGTGGCTTTTGTGCCAGGTTTTGCGGGAGACAAACTCTTCCCTAACGTTCAGATCACTGGTACGTTTGTTTCTCTCAAAGTTATAATTGGTGGTTCCTCAGAACATCTGTGGATTACTCTCATATTTTTAACTGGAATGGGATTTGTTCTGGTTTTCTCGGTCCCCACAAGTTGCTGGTGGTCCTGTCCTCCATGGCACTCCAATTCCCTTCCATGGCTCTTTGCCCTATGACATTTCCCTGCTTTTTGGACTTCTTTACAGTCGGATAGAAGTTCTGGCTGCTAGTCTCTCGACAGCCATTATTGTTAAGGTTTTAACAAACGCGTTGTACCAATTCTCCAGCGCATTTAATGGACGCATAAATAAACCAATAAACAAACAACCTCAGTTGTGATGATATGTCGGCATCTTTATTTCCTTCACATCTCAATACTTGCTTGCTCCATTTTCGAAGTAGACTCGAATTCCAGATAAGACTGGCTCAGGACAAGTTCTGATTCATTTTGGTGCTGCCGAATCTACACTAGCGAAAACTTCACGATTTGCGCCGAATGTCTCTAATCTTCGAGCGTCGACAATCTACGCGAGCGTTACGGATAAGGGTTGGTTCGCCTCTCGCGTCATTTGTATTTCGTTAACATGAAACTTTTTTGGTGTAAATTTCAAAATATATAATACATTTCTTTCCTGGACGGGAGGGGTAACCGTTTGAAATTACGTTTATTCGTTTAGATGAAGAGCCTACACCGTTCTACAACCAAAGGGTTCTACGTACTGTACTTGAATCGGCGGTGATCCGAAGAGTATCAGCAGAACTTCGGCATAAGGAGACTGTAACTGCAGCCCTTGCCCTTGTGAATCGATGGTTTACTTGTCGTGGATTTCATGAAGTCAGTCAATTTCTCCTTTGTTCCGCTTTAATTTTGAAACCACACGATCTCTTTCAAGTTCATCGAGATTGGTTTTAGTTTGATCCCGTCTTTTTGGCATGTTTCATGGCTAAACTAATGGAGGGCAGTATTGTAGCCAAACAGCAGGACCTGCTCACTGTGCTTCGGAATTTCTTTGTAGCAATAGGTGAGTTCGGACTTTTTTGAATAATTCTTAATATGCGATTTCATCATTCCAAAGTACGATTTCAATTCAGTTAATTGGGATATTTCCTCCCCTGCTGGATTTCATCCCGACGATCTCGAAGAAGATGTTATTTCTGCACATCTTGCAACTTTTCCAGTGGTTTTTCTTGATCAAACGGGATACTGGAATATATCCAGTGGGATTTCTAAGGAATCACTCGTACTGGTTCGTTCTGTTTTTCTTCACATTGGCAGTGTTCAAAGTAGGCTTAAAGATTGCTTATTTGTTCCAGGTAAAGACTGATTTGAGCCGGTCACTAACCGTTCTAGGAGATTGCCTTGCATTTGACACGCTATTCCTTGAGCGTCATCATTTCTTCTCATCCTTTGACCACTATTTCAGGTGAGTTTCAGAAAAGTCGCCGGTAGTGACTCCAAGTTTTTTTTACTGTCATGATTGTAGGCTGGTTTTGACGCCTGAAAATCTGGCATCACTCTTCAAAAGACCGGATTTGCTTATCGACACAGTGGACGAAGATGATCGCCTTGCAAGGTTCGTAGCCGGGCTCATGAAGGTAATCTATCAAGTTTTTTGGTCGAACAGTCCCCCACCTCCTCTACTGCTTTTTTTTATTCGCCCTTGGATGTTTCAACATACTTTGATTTGACTTTCCAGCAGAACTAAATTGTATGTTTTTAACGACCCTCATCTCAAACGACTCGTGGGAACGGCTGGTGTCAGAGTCGCGCGATTTTCTTGTGCGATTTTCGCGATTTTGCGTGCGATTTTTCGCGATTTCGGCGATTTTCGCGTTTTGCGCGATTTTCGCGTTTTGCGCGATTTTTCGCGATTTGCGCGACGGGTCACGGAAAATTACAAGTGCCCCATCCATACTGCAAGGTGTTCTCCAATCCCGCCGTCACTTCTGCTTGATGGTTATGGTTTAATGGAGACTGCTCATGATTCCACTTGTTTCATATCCAGTGTTTCAATTGTTCAAATGGGGCACTTGCAATTTTTGTGATTGGTTTGGTTTGATTCCTGAAAAAAAAATAGGAACGATTCAAGAGCATTTCAATGAACTAATAGACATTGAACATGAAACAAGTAGAACCACAAACATTCGTCTTCCAATCTTTACTGCCAAGCAGAATTCGCAGCAGGATTAAACAACACCTCGCAGTATTCATCGGGCACTTCCAACTCCTGTGATCCATCGCAGGTTTCGCGAAAATCGCGCAAAATCGCGAAAATCGCGCAAATCGCGAAAATCTCGCGCAAATCGAATCGCGGACTCTGACATCAGCCTAACCACTGTTACAACCATTGGGTGTTTTTTTTTAGGCGAAATTCAAGAGTGCCTTGTCGGACGTTTTTTCGACAATATTCGCTTGGAACGTTTAAAAGACGACAAAGTGAGTTCTCTAAGGTTCGTTCTGAGTGCGTGAAGGCGCCATTCTTCGGATGGCGTTAACTACGTTTCGTTTTGTGGGTGAGACTAGTTTATACACGGCGAGGAAGTCACCGCGCGGCAAGCGTGCGATATTGATCCAGCGCAGGAGGGGGACACGACATTGATGCGGCAATGCGGTTACCCAACAATGAGCCAGCGACTCGACAGTGTGAAAAAGTGACAAGAATCCTTCTTCATGGGCTCGTTTGGCTCTTTTCACTTTTCTTCATGCTCTCGCAAGTCTAAGAAAATGCAGAAGTCGAAACGAGGGGCAGCCACTCGGCTGTTTCTTTTACCGGTGTTGACGCTTGTCATATTCGGATCGCTGGGCCTCCGCGTCGTATCCTCGCAATTTTTCCCAGCGATCACAAAGGTTTGCGAAGTCTAACACCGGTCTGACGACTGCTGCCTGGGTTTTTAGCTCACATCGTTTATTTGTTTTGTAGCTGTTCTTCCCTTTCCAGGATCTGTTAGTTAGTGCTTGAGAGCAATGAAAAAGACCTGGGCTAAGTGATTTTTCTTTATGCTTGTTGATGCTTGTTGATTTCAGCAAAGCGGCGCCACCTATTTGATTGGACTACGTGCTACAAGGGAGTGGACGAATCCGTTAACCGTGGGTCCTGTTGCGACGGATCCGGCAGCGAAAGGTCTTTGAAGTTTGGTTTGGGTATTTTTTGATCTTTTGTTGTATTGCTGAATGCACTGCTGTGCTTCTTTTTAGAGTTCCGAGCGTTGTGGAAGGAGAAAACACAACTCAGGAAGTTTGCTGATGCTAGAATTTGCGAGTGCATGGTGTGGGCAGAGGCTGCATCGGAAGGTGTTCCTCGATCGATTCTTCAGTTCATTCTCATCAAGTTAGTTTTACTATTCGCCCATGTCTGCCCTAAGATTCTCATCTTTGATAAATCAAAACGTTTTTTGATAGAGATGCACTGTAGCAGGTAGTCCTTCCACTGCGAAGGCACTTCTTGGATTTTATTTTGAACTTATCGTATCTTTGAAAATTCCATCATTTTTTTCTATCTCTCATTTGTCTTCAGCCACTTCGGTCTGCCAGCCGGCTGTATCTCATGGCGGAGCGTCTTTCCGTCAGGATTCTCTTCACCTAGAGATGTAAATACAAGGATAAACAAAGCCTTTGCTGATCTCAGTGCAATTCTCAGATCTGCGAAGGGCCTCCCGCTGATGATTACCAACATTCACGGCATCAGCTCGTATCTAAGGGATACAGAGGTTAGTATTTTTGATATCAACATGATTCTCTGGCTTTTGGTGTAACTCTTATAAACTGGCTTATATTTCCTGGTGAAATCCCGCTGAGCTTCCTTTCATAACAATAAAATTGCGTTTCGAAAATTGGCTCAACATAACGTGGATAAAAATGAGCAAGTAAAAATGTGTCTTCCAGCCCTATGCTGCTGAAGTAATATGCAGAGCCGACCAAGGGCAAATCGAGAATGAACATCGCCTGTTGGCACAGCGCGCGGTGCCTGCTTACAACGGATCTGTTACAGGTCAGCTGCTGTAAATCTATTTCCTTTCTGCGTAACTTAGTGTTTTGTACTTCAGAATTGTTCTGTCCCGAAGTCTCATGTGATCTAAATGTGTAGTAAACAATGTGAGACTCCGAATATTTATTGCAAAAGACTCTAAAGCTTTTTACAAAAGGAATTGCACTTTTGTAAAAAGTTTGAACACTCACGCACTTTTGCAATTCCTTTTGTAAAAAGTTTCAGAGTCTTCAATAAATGTTTCTAGTCTCCTATTGTTTACTATACATGAAGTGTTTTGTATTCATTCTTCGGGATTTCTATAGTGTTGGAGGCATCACCTTTGCAATCGGAATCATTTGGTTGGATTTGATATCAGTGCGATCAGCCGTAGGCTTTTTATACGGCGCTACGCCAAGAAAATTACTCAGATTGCAATAAAAACATTGAACTAAACAGTTTCGTATTAAAAGGACGTGGAAGAACAGAGAAGTGTTCAATTCCACTTCTGTTTTACACACTGAATAGTTCTAGCACTACTGGTGATTTTCATATGT